GCTGCTCTTATCCTCTTTTACCTGCTGTTAGCCTCTGTTTGCTGCTCTTATCCTCTTTTACCTGCTGTTAGCCTCTGTTAGGTGCTCTTAGGCTCTTTTATCTTTTGTTAGCCTCCGTTAGCTGATCATAGCCTGTTTTACCTGTTGTTAGCCCCTGTTAGGTGCTCATTGCCTTTGTTTGCTGCTCTTATCTTCTTTTACGTGTTGTTAGCCTCTGTTAATTGTTATTAGCTTATGTTAGCTGCTCTTAGTCTCTTTTACTTGCTCATAGCCTCTGTTAGCTGCTCATAGCTTCTGTTAGCTGCTCTTAGCCTCTTTTATCTGTTGTTAGCCTCTGTTAGCTGCTTATTGCCTCTGCTGCTCTTATCCTCTTTTACCTGCGGTTCTCTAAAGTAGATAAAAACATTGCTAGACCTGAAGAGTTAGCAAACTATCATTCAGTGTAATTAAACTGTCTATCAGAGAGTAAGTGTGCTTTTTATGACACTCAAGCTTAACATTAGCTCTTGGAATGTTAGTTTATAACCAGTGTTAGTGTAACATGATACATTGTCATTACAGTAATCGCATAATATTTTTCAGTAACAGTTACAATTTATGTGGTTACTCGTGTTATAAGGGTTCTTCAGTTATCTGCAGGCTGGGTGGATAGAAAGAAAACATATTAATAAAAAACGTCTAAACAATTAGACATGAATCAATGTATATTTCTGTGTACAATATTCTTTTTCTTTCTATCAAATGACCTCAAAAAATGGTGAAGTAGGCTGACTTAATCCCTAACTAAAAGTACCATATATTTATTTATTTTGTAAATAAGAGCAGTTGTGCACTGAACACACTGTTATGTCACCCACGTGTTAGACCAGTGACAACTGATTCATTTTGTGCACTGACTTTTAGATACCACACGATTTTTAAAATAGTTGCTGCTGATTGGGTAACACTTCTGACAAAACCACCAAAGGAAAAACAAACATACTTCATAGACAGTTGCACAGTCTTTCAGTGAAATGTTTTTCAGCCTGCAGCCATTTGCAAAGCATTTTTAGGCTGAACCTGCCCCTGACTTTTAAGGAGTATCACCTCACTGGACATATTGCTTTTGTTACTCAGCGCATCTTTGCCAGTGTTGCTTTTAAACTCAAAAGTCACGGGTTATAACAAAACTATGGATAACATTCCCTCCCTTGCAGAGTAGCTAGCCACCTACTACTAAAGAACTTCAAGCAGCTTTACATGTTTTTGTGTTTGCAGCCAGTAAAGTGTTAGCAAAACAGCATGTCTTTGGCTCAATTAGCTTGCCCTGTGAACACATATTTAACATGAAACTAAGTCAAATATCCAGGTCAGCCTGTGCTTTGTCGCCCTGCTCTCTTCCTTGTCATACAGCGTTTGAATTTGTTGGAGAATGACACATTCTGTCTTAGCAAATATAAAGTCCTCAGTTTAGAGAAAGCTAATGACAACAAGCAGCGTTCTCGGCTCTGGTGACGAGAAAGCATGTAGCTCTCGGTTAGTCCCTCTCCAATTGAATGACCCAAGCTGGCAAGCTAACGATCTCTAGTATCTAAATTAGACCAAGAATGAACGCCAACCTGAGTGAAACAACGATTATTAACATGTACCTGTTTTTAAAAAAAACATTCATCACAAACTCCAATTCTTTTTTTATTCATCATTTCCTGCAAATATGATGCAACATTCTCTATTTCTGTTGGTTTTACGTGTCAAATTCAATGTATTGAATGTATTCTTTATGTGACAGAATTTAGTTTGAGCGACCACTGAATACAGAATAAAGAATGAGGAAAAGCTGCCAGATGCCAAAAAATGCTAATCGAGGGTTGTTGTTTTTTTTCTAGTATCAGAAAATGTAATGCAGTTGCAGAAATGGGACTGACAAAAAACCCATACACTACTGGATTATGTTTTAAATTAGTATTTTTAATGAAAACGTGTGCACTATGAGCATTAATCATGCAAATTGCTTTTGCCCAGTGCTGTAGACAAGTGAGACTGAGTGGAGTAAGAGAGGAACACTGCTAATTTTAGTGCAAGTAAACACATGAAAATTCAGACACGAGATATCAACAGAACTCAGCAACGACACACTGCAGTGTCTCTAATATTACATGCAGTCAATCTCACAGGAACACACACTGAGAGGACTAAGTCATATATTCACTTAAGTGTTTTAAAGCTTCACACTTTCCTCTCCTCTTATGGCAAATATCGTAATGCAACCAGTGACCCGGAGTTTCTTCCACAGTAAGTGTGCGTAATTATTTACAGCTCTTGTATCAGTTTACACTGAAGCTGCTAACAGCTTGTGTGGTACTCGCCTGTAGTTTTTAACTCAGTCTCTGTTACATTGCTGGGATGATATAAGATTCTTGTTCTTAACATGTCAGCAGGCAGAGGCGGGGTTAATGCAAAGTTTAATCACGTAGGCTTGTGAGACAGAGGCTGTTTAAATCCTGAAAGTCAACACACAGGTGTAGTCGTTGATTTTAGAGGCTGAGGAAACACGTCTGGCTAGATTTGAGCCTACTAGTCAATATCCACCTGATATGTGAACTGCCTACTATGCATGAAATGGTTTGACTTTGACACCACTGTTACACAGCTCCGTGCAAAGTTTTTACACTTGATCTGTTTGTGGAGATTAAATAAATGGTATGTAACATGTTAAATATTCAGCTTAAGAAGTACTATTAGACATACTTTGTCACATTTGAAAGACTCAAGGCAGGCCGGCTGCTTTATCTCAATGCTTTTGACTCAAGGACAAGTGTGCCCCAACAATCAGACACAAAGGAGAATCTTTTGTCTTTAAACAAACATGGAGCGGATCTTTAGGTTTCTGTAGTAATAGTGCCAGAGATGTCATACCAATAATAGTTACTACTGTGCCAGGTGCTGTATCACCTGTTATCCTGACCTGTTGTACCTTTGCATGAACATGAATGTCTGGGGGGCTTTGGCTCATGTCCAAATTCAATTACACATTTCTAAATTTTATTTTGCCGTCAGGTTGAATAGATCGAGACGCTCTTTTCAGTCCCAGTCAGTTAGAGCCAAACTACACACACACACTGCCATGCATGCATTGTGTTCATTTTAGTCAGGGTTGTCATGGCAACAGCTATTCAATGAAATGTCAATGCATTCAGGCAAACTGACACACATACACGCACACACACACTGTAAACACACGCTCTTCGATGAAGGGCTGCCGTGCTACTTTCCGCACATATTAGGGATCAATTTTGTGCTCCTGTCAAGAAAAGGGAAAACAGGTCAGCGGGGGTTTGCTGACCCTGTTGTAATGTTTGTGGCAGTCTCGAGGAGTCAACAATTCAACACTTAAAGAAAGGTGGCAGCAAACAGACTCCTGAATGTGAGTCAAAAGAGAGGAAAATAGGAATGAATGTGAGAAAATAGTTGGGATTTGAAGGCTATTTTTAGATGGAAGTATAACAAATAAACACGGCGAGAGTAGGGAGGAGTATGAATCCCATGAGATATGCCCACTAGATCAGAGGGGGAGGAAATGTGGGGAGGGGGAAGTCTCTCCCTTGGTTATTTGGTGAATTGAGCTCAGGTATGTTCCTTATAACTGATGTTTTCCGCATGTCACCAAATCTTTTTCCTCATAGTGACTTTCACTTATTGCTTTCTACATATTCTACTTTTTCTTGAAATCAGCTCCTGACGTTCTGCTGCGTTTGAATCAAACCACTGAACTGATGAGTAAACAGCTGTGTGTGAATACCGGGGTCCGGACGCGTGTGACTAAATGTCTTTCAAAACCTTATGTAGCAGTATTAATTTGTTGACAGCCGCTCATTATATCTGTATTTGTGTGTGCGCGTGTATCAGTCTGGCGGCGGCGGTGGGCTTTGTTATGTAGTGGCGATGAGCGTATCTGTGTGTCATTAGCTACCAGATGTTACATAATGTGACAAAGTGGAGGAATTAGATGGAGAAGGCAGAACAGAAGGCAGAAACACCCTTCCATTAGCTAATGAGCTGCAAACCCGGTCGATGTCTGCTTAGAAATACACACACAGCGAGACCACCGGCTTCATCACACACCTGAGAATGTGTGGGTGAACTGTGCACACATTAAAGTGAGTCAGACTCAGCTCTGCTGCTTTGTTGTCATTTAAATTCATATTTTAGTTTTCTTGTTTTGGGATTTTTTGCTACAGATTTAACTAAATGTGAAATGGCTTTAAATGTATAAAATCCTTTTTTTAAAGTTTCAATTTGGATAAATCTACAAGTACTATGCTGTCAGCTCCAGGAGCTTAATTCAGCTCTTTCATACACTTTTGTAGTAAGAAAAAAAACATTTCTAAATAACATATTAAAAGACAAAAAAATGCAATTTGTGTCCATTTTACAAATATGATGATTAGTTATGGATTTGTGTATCATGTGATTTCCATAACATGAGCTTTGTATGAAAATGACACATGTTGAGTGTGTCCTCAGTGAGGATGTGTCTACCTGCTGTGATGATGTAGCTGCACGGACTTTATTAACACCTGGCAGACTGAGCCCGTGTGCTTCTTACTGTAACACAATGTGTGAGTGGGGTCTTATTCTTAACACGTTTCTCACACATTTATGGAAGTAGTCAGGAAAATACAAGCAGGGGGACTATTTTTTTCACTCCTCTGAGTTTTCTGATCTAATTCATGTAGTATTTCTTTTTTCTTTTTGCCTTTACATTTGTACACCTCGTCTTGTGAGTTTGCTGACTGTTTGCACCTGAGCCCCAAACCAAATCAAAAACCAGGTGAAATTAGAGGGAATTAGAAAAGGAAAGAAAAAGAAAGTGTGATTTATCTTACCAAGTCCAGGTATGAAGGTATTCAGAAAAAGACAGATGACCGCCAAGGGGAAAGGCATAGTGGGAATTGCAGCTCTCAGGGGGCCTTTCTTCTCCCTGACCTCCACCACCACTCCTCCACCTGCTGTAGGGCCCCCGGACATGGCTTTAGTCCCCAGATTATCATCTGTTTTGACACGCCCCTGCTCCGTTCCTCCGTCTTTCTGTGCCATCTCTCTTTTCTCTTTAGATTAAAAGCAGCTTCAGGTGAGTGGGTGAGATTTGTTTCCCCTGGATTAGGATTTAGATGAGGGCAAAAATAAATGTCAAAAATAGTTGTATCCACAGAGGATTAGCTAAATATTCAGCAGTTCATGTCATCAGCTGGCTCTCCACTCACAGCTTATGACACATTCACTGGCAAATATACAGGAGCAGCAACAAGCTAGAAATGTGAATTTGTGGCAAAAAGGGTTAAACTGTTTATAGAAAAGCAATGCATATTTAATTTTATTTGAGATGAGATATATTTTTAAAGTCAGCTTAACAAATGTTCACACATATCCACGTCTCAGGAGAGCAATTGTCTTCAAGAACATATGAGGGAGATGCAGAGATTCGTCTGAAAAAGTAAATTTAAATCAGGGAAAAAAGTCTCAAACAAAGCAGAAGTTTCAAAATCCTGCAACTGTGAGTCCTTAAAAAGCACTGTGTCCATCATCAGAAGTCAGTGACATCGTCTGTTTGTTCCCATACATGTCCAGCATGTCCTTAAGGAAGCCTCCTTAAAATATTTTCAACATCTTCAGTAAAGTCCTCAAACTATGTGCTGCAATTTCTTATTTTCTTTCTTTCTTTCTCTTTTTTCTTTCTTTTTCTTTCTTTCTTCAGTAAAATCCTGCTAATCCTACACACCTCTCCAAGACAGAGAGCAGACAGCGCACACACCGACCCCCGTTTTTCTACTACGTCTCTCTCTCTCCCTCTCCCTGTTTTCTCTCCCTCTGCCCCCCTCCATTTAAAGGAACAGTGCCATCATTTGCTGCCTCTGAATGAAGTCGATCCATAAAGCTAATGCAAAAAATTACACACTGTTGCTTAAATTATCTTGCATGATGACCCTAAAGAAAACCTTTGCACGATTTTCCTGCAGCGTAATTCCAATCCAACTGATTAAAGCCCAGTCCTTTTTGTTTACATTTATCTAATGTGTTCACACATCTCCACGAGCGCTTTATGTGAGCGTCAGATAATGGTTGAGAGAAGACACACATTTACAAATGTCCCCAGTTTGTAATATAGATAATTACAACTGATGGATTGTGTAATGATTGTGTAATTGCAGCGCTCATTTTCAAAGCTACCTGCTGTTCTTTCCCGTGAATACACAGCTGGGTTTACAGCAGGTTTACAAAACCGAGAAAGAAAGGAGAAGGACGGGAAGCTGAGACAAAGCAGATGAGCGATGAAAAAAAGAAGAAAACTCAACAGTGGAGAGCGAGATCAGACAAAGAGACAATCAAGGTGTCAGTATTTCAGCTATCATTAATGTAATAGCTGAAATACTGACATACCACCCCCCCACTCCTCCCCTGACTTCCACTTAATCCCCCATATCTCACTTTTCAACTTCTCTTCCTCATCTTCTTCACCACTTCTCCAGTCTGCTCGCGCAAGCTTTATTTAAACACAGTTGCAAATCTGCGAAAGCCTGAAATTAATCTCGGTCTCAGTTTTCATCTCTCTCTCTCCCTCTACGTCTCTCTCTCTCATTTCTGTTTGGTTTCCTAGCAACCCAGGAAGCTGAAGGTAATTATACAAAAGATATTGATCTCTACTTTGTGGTCCCTCTCTATCCCCCTCCTATTTTTCCCATCTCTCCCACTAATTTCAGTTCAATCCCTACTTTTAATTTCCTCTCATCTCTGAATCACGGGCGGTGCTGTAACTGCCAACTCGGCTGTAGTTTTCTCTTTTGTTTTGGTTATGCAAAGCGACATTATTATGTGTCTGACAGTCCAGGACTCTCAGAAATCTGGACCGATGAACTCAGTCATCGTTGGATTGTTGAGCCAAAGGCATGTGGTGTATGCTTATTACCATGACAACATGACAGGAAAAGTAATACAGTGTTTTAAAAAAACAAAAAATATTTCACAATTTATTTACAGTGAGCCAATTGTAATCAAAAACAATTTCTCATTGTAAGAAAAATGTACATTTGAGCTACAACAGTTTAATACTACTGTTTGGATTCAGGTTATAAGGATATTCTGGCAGTTATACTCCAGTCTCTATAAATAGCTTGATGCAGATTTGTTGGCGCATCCGTGATATGAATTTCTGGTTCCACCACATCCCAAAGGTGCTCTATTGGATTGAGATCCAATTACCAGGGAGGGCATTTGAGTGCAGTAAACTCATGTTAAAGAAACCATTGTTGGATAATTTGAGATTTGCGACATGATGCGTTATCCTGCTGGAAGCAGCCATCAGAAGATGGGTACGCTGTGGTCATAAAAGGATGGATGTGGTCAGCAATACTAACCAAGTAGGCTTATTGCAGTGCAGTAGGGCCCAAAGGGTGCCAAGAAAATATCCTCAACCACCACCAGCCTGAACTTCGTGCTTTTATGTTGTTTAAACTAAATTCTGACACTTACCACCCAAATGTCACTGAGGGATCATGAGTCATCAAACCAGACAATGTTTTTCCAGTTTTCTATTGTGACATCTGACATAAACAAGTCATTTTCACCCAGAGAGCTGCTACTCATTGGATATTCTCTCTTTGTGAGGCCATGCTCTGCAAACCCTCCAGACGGTTGTGTTGGAAATCCCAGCAAATACTCACCAGTCCATCTGGCACCAACAACAATGCCACATCAAATAAGATGTTTACCGTTCTTTCCCATTCTTATGTTCAGTTTAAATTTTAGCAGGTCACCATGACCATGTCTGCGTGCCTAAATGCATTGAATTGCTGGTATGTGATTGGCTGATTAGGTATTTACATTAACAAGGAGTTGTGGTATCTAATAAAGCAGTCAGTGACTTACACTCACACTACTGATGTAGTTTGGTTTGTTATCTTTCTTTAATTATAACAATAAATTAGCCTTCTTACAGTTCTTTTGTTTCTTACATCCCACAGCTGCATGACTCCTGTCATAGTTGAGATTGGGGAAAAACCAAACAGGGAGATGGTGAAAGCCGGTCATGGGTCATTAATCGCTACAGGAGTCGTGGTCACTTTGGCCTGTCGCTAGCTAAATCATAACACTGCATCAGCCACACAAACACTGTTTTTGAACATTTACTTTCCCATTAGTATATTGCATTCAAAATGTAAAGTAGTTTGCAATAAATAGCATTTTCCTCGCAACCAACAGGACATTATTTCACAAGTGCTCTTTATTTTTATAGCTAAAGTAGGTGTTCAGTAGCCATCTTAAAATGCCATTTTGGCTTTTAAAAGTTACACCAGGAGCTCAGAAAGATGTAGCTTTTTCATTTATCACTTCTCAAATGTAGCTGTTTGAGAAGTGATAAATGACCAACCTCAGACGGGTGATTTACAGTCTAATTTCCCTGCTGAGCACGTTAATAACCTTCTAATTGAGGGTGTCTGCAAGGAATACTCAACAGTGTGTGTATAAAATCTGCTTTGGAGGA